ATAATCCATCCATCTATCTTCCATCCATCCATCCATTTTCTTCTGCTTTATCCGTTGCAGGGTCGCGGGGGCAGAAGTCTAAGCAGAGACGCCCAGACTTCCCTATCTTCTTCCCCTTAATCCATTTCTGGGTCGGGGGTGGCAGTCAGAGCACCAGCCCCTCGCTGATCCTCCTGCAGGTGGTGAGTCCACAGGATGATCGCTGCTCTAGTGGAGTCTTGCCCAATATATAATGTGTGAGTGAGGCATTTAGTATTTATCCTAGCTTTAGCATTTAGCCAAGCTTTAGCATTTAGCCTAGCTTTAGCCATCTCCTTTGCCACTAACGGAGCCCGTAGGGAGTAGAGCCACAACATCTTTCCAGCAGTGACATTTACTAAACGTTCCTCTTGCTCAGGCTTCAGTTTCTTGATATTTGGAGCTGAACCAGAACAGATTATTTTACTATCGCATTCTCCGACAAAGTACAACCAGCAAATTCATCACAAACTCTTGACGTCACAGACACCGACCTACAACACCCGCTCTCTGATTGGTCGGAGTGGATTCAACCGAGGAAACCGCAGCCACTAGGATCAGACCCAGACGTACATGTAGGAAATGATCATGGACTAGACTTAAACAAATGGATAAGGCTAAGGCTACACTGCGCTGAAATCAGAAGAAATATGTTTGTGTTCTGCTTCTGTCAGGACTCTGCAATACTTTATAGATTGAGCTGAAACTTTGCAAGAATGACAGCGCGTCTGCACATGGATGAGACTGAGGTTAAAAACATGGCTTAATATTATGCAGGAGAGAGAGGAGACTAGTGTAAACAATGGCAGAAACAAGGACACAGATGCACAGGAGGGTGAGCGCGGCCTGAATCATAACCAGACGGGGTAAATACAACCCTCTTGATTAGTCGAGCGCAAAGGGAGGCGACGCGAGACCAGACTTTATAATGAACTCGACACATAAAAGGCTTAGAAGGTTCTTTTAATAACAGTGTACAAGTGCTAGTGCTGTTGAAATACCTGGAGTGTTTGGGTGGGGAGAGAGAGAGCGTAGATCAGGGGAGGGTGGGCAGCGTGTGACATCACCACGGTATTAGCCTTAATGCAGAAGAGGCTGATACGAAGAATCAGCCTAATTCCTTATATGGGCATTTGTTATGAAGGGGTTGGCTTCATCGCTTTCCGTAACAGGAGCAGACGTGTTGCTAAGACGGTTGCTAAGACAAGCTGGAGTTTCCCCCCACCAATGAAGGCATCTGATTGGTCAATCCTAATATGGTTCATAACTGGAAAGACGATATCAAAATATAAAAACCAGGATCACAGAGAGAAAAATCCAAAATGGTCTGTTGTTGAGCTAGGAGTTTACGTTTACATGTAAGTAAATCTTCGCCCGTGAGCACTTTCCTACTGGGCTTCATTGAGCTAGCGGGTTAGCATTGTCCGCCCAAACATGTCAGGTAATTAAACAATACTAGCTTCTTTACACCCTTTGTGTTCGTCAAAAAAATATGTGTGCATGTATTTTTGGCCTCTGTCACAGCGGGGGGTTTTTTAAAGACAAAATAGTGAAAACGAGAGGACCACCCTCAGAGTCAAATTGTGACTCAAAACGCAGAAGGTAACTTCACATGTCATTATTCATTCGCTACTACTACTGGAGCCACAGCTGCCCTGGGGCACTCTGACAGTCTGTCCCATCGGCCCCTCCCACCACCAACAACTATTCACACACACACCAGACTTATTCTAATGTGGGTGAAGTGTCTTGCCTAAGGACACAACCACAGTTTTGACAACCGCAGCCGCCCCACTGTGGCCCCTGGTGTTCTCAGAGGTCTCTCATCACAGTACTAACCAGGACCTGCCCAGCACAGCTTCAGAGCTCTGACGCATGCAAGTATGGCCACAAGTTGCAGATCCTTATCTTGTTAGACCCAAAACCCACATTGCCTCATAATAACTTGACTTTGGCCTCTCCTTTCTACAAAACAACTTTGCCAGAATATAAATAAGTCCCAGAGTACAGGGATGACTCATTGCCGATCGCGTCCGTCTCAGTGTGTGGTATTTGTACTCCACGCTCCTCCAGCTGCAGGCACCGGGGACGAGCACTAACAAGAGAAAGGCCATAGAAAGAGCACGCTATTTCCAGGCTCAATGGAAATAATACAACAGAGGACGACTGAAAGTTTGAGAAATGTGTCTGTAGGAAGCAGAGGAAAAGGGACAAATGACAATACTGCTTTAAAGCTGGAGCACCTAACATTACTTTTTGGTTTTTATAAATACATTGGCCTGAAGAACTTTTGGAAAATCTAAAATTTCTTCATAAAATCGGCATAAACTATGAACTTTTTCAATCTTTTGCAAAATCACAAAAGGTGCAAAAACAGTGTCCACCCTCACATTTATAGGTTTGTCATAGTTTGAATGAGGAGAACATGCAAACAATGATAGAAAGGGGAGACATAAGTAACTGAACTGATTGTGTCTAAGGCAGGCGTGTCAAACTGAGGCTTGTGGGGTAAATCTAGCCCAGAAAATCATTTTTATTGGCTCCTGAAATTATATTCAATACTTTACTGTAGTAAGTTGTAATAATGGGTTCTATGGCCTGTTATACTTCATTTTAAATCCTCAAGAAAACCCTACAAATGCAATTCAATATTCTGGTTACTTAATTTTTTTGCCTCTCAATGTGGGTCTCCCTGAGGTTTCCCGCCTTTTCCCATTGGGTTTTAGAGTTTTTCCTTTGCCATGGCAGGAGGGTCTAACATTAGGATGATCCAGGACACACTGTTCTCTGCTTCTTATGGATCAACGGCTCTATGTGGTTTTATCATTGCCTTTCCTGTTGACCTGTTTGATTCTCTGATCTGTGTTGTCCTCTGAGATAACTATGCTTTAAATTTAGGGCGATACAAGAAAACATTTACTTCTATTTTTATATTTAACTTTGAATCTTCATATACATCTCTTGTTAATATTTGGCCCAGTTGGGGTTGAATCCAAACATGTCAAAAACAAACTTTTATACTTCTGGCCCCCGAGCAAAATGAGTTTGACAGCCCTGGTCTGGGGAGACTTTGAGAGAGAAATGTCGATATAAACATTTATGACTTGGATCGTTCGCGCGCTCTGATTGGCTGATTTGCGGTCTGATATTTTCCCATCTAGGACTGTTACCATGACGATCAGTCCGCAGCACGTAGCAAATTTGATATCTTTCCTCGATAAAAAATAAATGAGCGACGACTGGGAGCATTCTCCAGTGAATTCTATTATCCGGACGAGTTGGAAGAGCCAGAGGAAGTAATAACAGCAAATAACGACGAAGACATAACTCCTCACAGTCAAGAAGAGATCGACAACTTCGTTACGGACCAGAAAGGTAAAAACACGATTAGGAAAACCAAGTGGGACATGAACATACTTCACAAAGCATCGGTAAAGACACAGACTGAGAACTTACAGCGGGCGCCTCAATCATCGATAAGTTCTTCATGTCACAGATTGACAGTTTGGTTGCATGTGTTTTTGCTAGTGTTGAAACAATATTTGCATAAATAAAAAATAGTCATATAATAAAACATTTATTAACCTCGCGCTCGTTTAATAAGCCGTTAATATTTATACATTCCACTATTTAGGAATGTATATTTGCATGTAGCGTTTTGGGGCGCGGTCTTTAAGCTAATGGCGTTTCATGGTAGTTCCCTATGAAAAAGCACTAACAAACCTTAGGATTTGTATGTATTTGACTTTAATTGAACTGACTTGAAAACACAGGTGTGCAGCAAGTACTATGCATGTAAGTTTTGGGGTTTTTGAAGCTTCAAATAAAGAAACACTGATTCCCTGTGGAGAGTTATGACTTGAAATAATAGTTCTGAATGAGATCCTTCCTTTGATACCTCTTCATGCATATAAACACGAGCCGTTTCCCCGCGGCTGAAGTGGAATGATGCCATCAAGGTTCAGCTTCACACAAAATTAAAGCCAAAAAAAATGTACTTTAAAATCCTCAAAATGAACCGTGGTCATAAATTATTCAACAGCGCTCCTCACATGTCTGCTGGCGGGAGCGAGATAGCGGCAGTCTGCACCAATACTAAAAACTGCTTTGCCTCTTCAACACTTCTGGTGTTTGGTGACAAAAACAGAAAGTAACTCATTTGTGCTGAATGTGACGAGATGTGAGATGATGCGGCGCAAGAGGCTGGACCAAGAGCCAGAGCAGAACCTGGACCAAAAGCTGGAGCAGGAACTGGACCAAAAGCTGGAGCAGAAACAGGACCAAAATCTGGAGCAGGAACTGGACCAAAAGCTGGAGCAGGAACAGGACCAAAAGCTGGAGCAGAATTTGGACCAAAAGCTGGAGCAGAATCTGGACCAAAAGCTGGAGCAGAATCTGGACCAAAAGCTGGAGCAGAATCTGGACCAAAAGCTGGAGCAGGAACTGGACCAAAAGCTGGAGCAGAATCTGGACCAAAAGCTGGAGCAGAAACAGGACCAAAAGCTGGAGCAGAAGCTAGAGCAGAAGCTAGAGCAGAAGCTAGAGCAGAAGCTAGGGTAGAAGCTAGAACAGAATCTAGAGCAAAAGCTAGAGCAGAAGTTGGAGAAGAAGCTAGAGCAGAAGCTAGAGCAGAAGCTAGAGCAGAAGCTAGAGCAGAAGCTAGAGCAGAAGTTGGAGAAGAAGCTAGAGCAGAAGCTAGAGCAGAAGCTAGAGCAGAGGCCAGAGCAGATAATGCAGCGTCTCTCTCCCCGAGCCGCACTGACCTGTCCAGGTTGATTAGCTGAATAAAGATGTTGTAATTAGACGCTAATAAGTAGCAAAGGCCGCGCTTCTATTCACTTGTAAATCCAGCCGCCACAGAGAGTAATGAATGAACCGCCGGGAAGCACGATCCCTGACAAACCACTTGAGGCTAACGAGCGAGAAGCAAAACAACAGAAGAAGACGGAGGAGAGGATTCGGGCGCAGAGACAGTCACTCACCGTGTGCCGTCCGCCTTCCAGCTCACTTTGTACGGACTGTGCTCCAGGAAACGCAGGTTCTGTCGGTCCATGGACACGGGCTGAGCTCCGGGGAAGCCAGACCTGCAAGAAGGCAAGGTTATTAGTATAGCAGAGGTCATACTCAAGGCAATTCAAAGTGATGAACAAAATCTGAAACGCTGCCTCCCCATGTTAATCCTGACTCTGGGCACCAGCAGGAGGCCAGTCCCTGTGCTCCTCAGAGTCCCAGCAGAAGGCCAGTCCCTGTGCTCCTCAGAGTCCCAGCAGAAGGCCTGTCCCTGTGCTCCTCAGAGTCCCAGCAGAAGGCCAGTCCCTGTGCTCCTCAGAGTCCCAGCAGAAGGCCTGTCCCTGTGCTCCTCAGAGTCCCAGCAGAAGGCCAGTCCCTGTGCTCCTCAGAGTCCACAGCAGGAGGCCAGTCCCTGTGCTCCTCAGAGTCCCAGCAGAAGGCCAGTCCCTGTGCTCCTCAGAGTTCGAGTTGGTTGATAAGCCACTAACATGTCACAGATGTAATTTGGTGCGAGGCCGTGGAGAGACTTTAGAGCTGCTTTTAAGTATATTTTCTGAGCTACAGGAAGCCAGCGCAGAGACCTGAGACCAGGACAAATGTAATGTTCCTGGTTCTAGTCAGGACTCGAGCTACAGCGTTTTGATTATACTACAGCTGTTTTAGCAGAAACATGGGCCAATCCACATCATCAACGCCCTTTGTAAAGTCCTCCGGATAGGAATATACACAAATAAATTGAATTGAACTGAACATAACCCAGCTTTCACACGAGGTAAACTATCTTGGATACACTTGGCCTTTGAGGAACCCACACAGAAAATAAAGTAGAAATACGTGCTGTAGCTCGAGCAGCAGAATACGGGAGACCAGTGGGAGGCAGCAGGTGGTGGAAATAGCTGCATTGACGTTGGTTCTGTTTTGACAGGAGCAAGAGCAGAGCTGACGCCACAGAGTTTCAGTCTCGGAAAAAAACATCTCTGAGTATGTGTGTTTCTGTCTGAATATGTACAAATATATTCCTGGCTCTAGTGACTATAAAAGTGTCCAAACAGAAGACTAATGAGTCATTTCTCAGCACAAAAATCCTCTTTCTACCTAAGCCTTCTGTGCCTTACCGTACTCTACTCTGCTTTTCTCTACTCTTCTCTACCCTATACTACCCTACTCTAACCTATCCTATCTTACCCTACTCTACTCTACCTTACTCTGGTACCAGATCCTAAAATGTAATGGAAACGCAACCAGGAGGTGTCGACTCGACTAGACCATTTCTAGACCAGACCAGACCAGAGTAGACCAGACCAGAGTAGACCAGACCAGACCAGACCAGAGCAGAGCAGAGCAAAGTAAAGTAGAGTAGAGTACTTGTACAGTAGTATATTGTCTTACTTGTCCCACTCTGCCATCTCCTGACAGAGCCGCTGCAGTTGGCCCAGTTTGGGTTGTGTGGTAATCTGGGACACGCCCTTCACCGTGATGCCTTCAAGGAACACCGCGCCCTGAGGAACAAAAGACATGTCATCAAACCAAACACGAGACTCGGTGCAAAGTTTCTACAGCCTCCTACGCTCCTGACGACCCTACCCCAAACAGGATGTGGACGCCAAGTCTCCAGTGAGCGCCAACGCCAAGGATAAAGACCCGGCTCCAGGTCTTAATTACAAACAGCTGGGCCATCTCTCACAGAGCGGACCCGACATGTTGTGAAATGTAATCTTTATGGAATCACTTTTTTTAATTGGGGGATATTCTAACATGGGATAGGAGAGATTTTGAAAAGGAAGCTGTTTGAGACTGTCTGACATGAGTAAAGTTTTTCCCATAAGTCACACATTAGGGATCGGGCAGATACTGGTCCACTGTGATTATGTGATTATGAAAAGGCTACAATATCTTAGTCACAGTATTAAAGGTATAAGAGGACTTTCCACTTCCGGGTCGATAATGGGTCCTCCCAATTGTCCCAATTATTCTGGTGATACGTGAGAGTGTTTTGTTCAAAAAGTGGAAAGGGCGGTTCTTTCCTAAAATTTGGGAAAATCCAGTTATATACCCATAACCTAAAAGTAAGTACTTTATCTATATAGCGCATTTTTTACAGACCAAGGTCACCAAAAGCGCTTCTGAGTTCAGATATTATTCTCTCCACATACGGTGATGACAGAAGCGAGACGACCAAGACCATCCATTCACTCACTCATTACATTCAGACCTTTTGTACATGTTTTTAGTTGTAGGGGAAACCGGAGCACCCGAAGGAAACCTACGCAGACACGAGGAGAACATGCAAACTCCACCCAGAAAGGCCCTGCTCCGACCGGGATTCAAACCCAGGACCTTCTTGCTGAGAAGGGAGAGTCCTACCAGCCTCTTTAGTCCTGGATCTACAGCCTCAGTCCTGGATCTACAGCCTCAGTCCTGGATCTACAGCCTCAGTCCTGGATCTACAGCCTCAGTCCTGGATCTACAGCCTCAGTCCTGGATCTACAGCCTCAGTCCTGGATCTACAGCCTCAGTAATGGATCTACAGCCTCTTTACTCCTGGATCTACAGCCTCAGTCCTGGGTCTACAGCCTCAGTCCTGGATCTACAGCCTCAGTCCTGGATCTACAGCCTTGGTCTAATGGTTAAAAAGGCAATTTTACTTAGGTCTTAACATTGCATTCTCCAACATACATTACTTAACTAATTACTTGTGACCAAAACCACACAATAGACCAAGATCAGCAGTTATTGTCATTAAATCAACACAAAAAAACCTTCTACTTCTGTTTCTAAAGCAACAAATAAATGTTTTCTCTCCACCACGAGCTGCTGTATTCAGAGCAGACTCCGCCGCTGCCAATTCTAATTAAAAAGTTAGAAAACATGCTTTTGAGTTGTTAGCGCCAAGCTCATTTACTCAAGTCAACCTTGTGCGAAACGTCCTTGTTGCTTTTATTCATGACCAAAGGAAACGCAGCCTGTGTACATTATGTATATTATGAAAAACTTACAGCAAATAAGAGCAAAGGCAGGTGGAGAATGAGAACGCATCGCCCTCGCATCCATTAGCGTTAGCGGTTTATGATGAAGAATCACACAGCAGCAACAACACAAAACACAAGCTATATTAATGTATGTTCAGATCATCCATCTTAAGGAGGGTGCGAGGAAGAGTAGAGTAGAGTAGAGTAGGGTAGAGTAGGGCGAGGAGGGGAGGGGAAGGGTAGGGTAGGGTAGAGTAGAGTAGAGTAGGCTAGAGTAGAGTAGAGTAGAGTAGAGTAGAGAAGGGTAGGGAAGGGTAGAGTAGGGTAGGGTAGAGTAGAGTGGTATAGGGCGGGGCGGGGAGGGGAAGGGTAGGGTAGGGTAGGGTAGGGTAGGGTAGGGTAGAGAAGGGTAGAGTAGAGTAGAGTAGAGTAGAGTAGAGTAGAGAAGGGTAGAGTAGGGTAGGGTAGGTTAGGGTAGGGTAGGGTAGAGTAGAGTAGGCTAGAGTAGAGTAGAGAAGGGTAGGGTAGAGTAGAGTAGGCTAGAGTAGAGTAGAGTAAGGGTAGGGTAGAGTAGAGTAGAGTAGAGTAGAGAAGGGTAGAGTAGGGTAGAGTAGAGTAGAGTAGAGTAGAGTAGAGTAGAGTAGAGTAGAGTAGAGTAGAGAAGGGTAGGGAAGAGTAGAGTAGGGTAGGGCGGGGCGGGGCGGGGAGGGGAAGGGTAGGGCAGGGTAGAGTAGAGTTGAGTAGAGTAGAGAAGGGTAGGGAAGGGTAGAGTAGGGTTGGGTAGGGTAGGGTAGGGTAAGGTAGAGTAGAGTAGAGTGGTATAGGGCGGGGCGGGGAGGGGAGGGGAAGGGTAGGGTAGAGTTGAGTAGAGAAGAGTAGAGTAGAGTAGAGAAGGGTAGAGTAGGGTAGAGTAGAGTAGAGTCCATCTACACACAGGTTTGGAGCAGTGAGGGAATACTTGTAACCCTACGTCATCACAATAGTAAATAGTCCTCTAATCTTTTGTTAATGGCCAAAGTTAATGTGTAATACTAATCTTCATACCTCCTGCTATGAAAGCACAGGTCCATAAAGTGCATTGTTATGTTATGTGCCGAGTTTTATAATGATGAAGTTTCTGATATTTCATCTCGTCTCGGCTCCAGTGGACTCGGCCGCCCGGCGCTCTGACTCCAGCGCAAACCACTCAAGCGATAGAGCGTCTTCTTTAATGACAAGCGGGTAATGGGACTCCTCTGCTGCTGCTGCTGCTGCTGCTGCTGCTGCTGCTGCTGCACTCACCTCTGCACGTCTCGGCCTCCTCTATATTAGATTTGCTTTAAGGTTTCAGTAAGCCGAGTGTAATAACGGAGAGAGACACGGCCATGGCACTATTGATTCTATTTGGTACACAGGGCTTACACTGTAGGGTTGGTTAACATACTTGTAGCACGGGAACAGGGGATGCTAGCTTCATAAACACAGTGATTCTTACAAAGGGGCAATAGCATCAAGTACCAAAAACTATATCTACACTACATTAAAAAGCCAGAGATGGAATATAAAGGAGAAACCTACAGTACTTGATGAACTTGTAGCGCAAATTCACATAATGTTGTTTTAAATAGGGCTGCACCGTATTGGAAATTAGAGCGATATTCGATATGGGTGTTTAGTATTTCGATAACAAAATTGTAGCGTTATTTTTGTAATTCACCTAAAAATGTAATCTGCATTGAACCATAAGACAATAATTTGAGATTGTAAATACACAGCAAAAAGGACCCTGTGGTTGTGCTGGAGGTGGCTCTGGAGATTTGTTGTGTTTCCCTTCAACTTAAGGACTATTTTTTGGCATGACTTGCAAATAACTTGTTTCTGTGATTGGTCCTGTCGTGTGAATCTGAAGTAGTCCCACTGTGTCTTTTGGGAACAGGTTCCTCTGCATTCGTCTGCATCTGTCTCTTCATCATCTGCTTCTTTTGTTTCTCCGCGTGTTCCACTTTAGCGTGTGTCGGCACGAGGTTGCAGCAGATTCCTTGCAGTGCGCATTCAAGAAATACAAGAAATGTATATCGGTACATAAATGTATCAAAATTATTGCGCATCTTTTAGATATGGATATGGCTCCAATATCACAATGATATTTTTTGATATATCGGGCAGCCCTACATTATATACAATTTATTTAGGTTTTAAGTAGTTGTCTAACTCCACTACAGCTTCAGGGCTCTACATTTTGTCTGTATCACAAAACACTGACTCTGAGGAGCACAGGGACTGGTCTCCTGCTGGGACTCTGAGGAGTACAGGGACAGGTCTCCTGCTGGGGCTCTGGTGAGCACAGGGACTAGTCTCCTGCTGGGGCTCTGAGGAGCACAGGGACAGGTCTCCTGCTGGGGCTCTGAGGAGCACAGGGACCGGTCTCCTGCTGGGGCTCTGAGGAGCACAGGGACTAGTCTCCTGTTGGGGCATATAGCCGGGGCATTAAGTCTAGCCTGAAAACAGTTCTCTAACTTTTGTTTTAAAATTGTCGTTAATGTTTTATTTGTGTTTATTTTAATGACTACTGGTTTGTTGACACTGGCAAATCTAATTAAAAAGAATAATTAATACGAAAATAAGAATTAAAAATGTGTTTGAAGTTTCTGCACAGAACCGAAACGCTGTGTAGCTCATTTGTAAGTTTGTAAGTGGCTACAGTCACCAACAAGTCTCATAAATGTGATTCAGGACCTTGGACAGCAGCACAGCACTCTCCCCACTCCTTAACTTTGAGTTTAGGAATTAAAATTGTAAAAAAACAGGTGCGCTAATGTGGCTCCTATTATCATAATTTTTGAAAGAACGTGCTTGTGTTAGCCTCAATGCAGAAGAAGCAGATTTGAACAAAAGCTGGAGCTGATATCCTAATATGGGCATTTGTTCAGACGTCAGTAGCTTCAAGCAGTAACAGGTGCAGACATGTCGCTAAGACGGTTGCAAGTTGGATTTTCTAATAATGACCTGCGTTCTATACATTATCCCGCTTATTATACGGCTTTGTGCCAACTGAAAATACAAAATAAACTTAAGTCAATAGGAGCCAGAGAGAAATAGAGCACTTCCCTATTGGGCTACATTGAGCTAGCGAGTTAGCATTGCCCATCTGTATGCAGTCTATGGTGTGACCTGGCGACGACAATACTGAGATCTGTGATATTCCATCTCTATAATTAAATTCTGCTGCAGTTTGGTTGGAGCACCCTGAACAAAGTCTTGGTAGAGATTGGAATCGTGGAGCGAGTTTCAGAAGTGGTCATCTGGAAACTTGCTCCGTGATGGATCAGTCCTGGATAAAGGATTACACAGATCTATTGGACAAATGTGAAATGGCTGAAGAGCAGAAACTGTGGAGGAGAAACGGAGAAACCGCGTGAGATTGTTTATTCTAGAAATCCAGTATTCTTTCCATTATTACCTGTGATTAATTAAGTCATCTATTCATTCTAACCTTAACTACTTACTACTTACCATTTATATTTAAGCAATACTGAAGCAGAGAACAGAGCGTGACAATATTTGAACGTTTGAAGCTATTTAGTTTTTATAACAATCTACTCGGTTATTTCTCTGAGGCAAATATTAAGCAACTCTCTGAATACTTGTAGTAGTGTCTGTGTGTGTGTCTATGGCGCCCTTTGTGTGATTATCTGTCTCTCTCGGCCTCTCTCTGTATCTGCCCTCCTCTGCCTCCCTCTGCCTCCCTCTGCCTCCCTCTGCCTCCCTCTGCCTCCCTCTGCCTCCCTCTGCCTCCCTCTGCCTCCCTCTGCCTCCCTCTGCCTCCCTCTGCCTCCCTCTGCCTCCCTCTGCCTCTCTCTGCCTCTCTCTGCCTCTCTCTGCCTCTCTCTGCCTCTCTCTGCCTCTCTCTGTATCTGCCTCTCTCTGTATCTGCCTCCCTCTGCCTCTCTCTGCCTCTCTCTGCCTCTCTCTTCCTCTCTGTCTCCCTCTGCCTCCCTCTGTCTCTCTGCCTCTCTCTGTATCTGCCTCCCTCTGCCTCCCTCTGCCTCTCTCTGCCTCTCTCTGTATCTCTCTTCCTCTCTGTCTCCCTCTGCCTCTCTCTGTATCTGCCTCCCTCTGCCTCCCTCTGCCTCTCTCTGCCTCTCTCTTCCTCTCTGCCTCTCTCTGTCTCTCTCTGCCTCCCTCTGCCTCCCTCTGCCTCCCTCTGCCTCCCTCTGCCTCCCTCTGTCTCTCTCTGTCTCTCTCTGTCTCTCTCTGTCTCCCTCTGCCTCCCTCTGCCTCTCTCTGCCTCTCTGTCTCTCTCTGTCTCTCTCTGTCTCTCCGTCTCCATCTGCCTCCCTCTGCCTCCCTCTGCCCCTCTCTGCCTCTCTCTGCCTCTCTGTCTCCCTCTGTCTCTCTCTCTGCCTCTCTCTGTCTCTCTCTGTCTCTCTCTGTCTCTCTCTGTCTCTCTCTGTCTCCCTCTGTCTCCCTCTGTCTCTCTCTCTGCCTCCCTCTGCCTCTCTCTGCCTCTCTCTGTCTCCCTCTGTCTCCCTCTGCCTCCCTCTGTCTCTCTCTGTCTCTCTCTGCCTCTCTCTGTCTCCCTCTGCCTCCCTCTGCCTCTCTCTGTCTCTCTGCCTCCCTCTGTCTCTCTCTGTCTCTCTCTGCCTCCCTCTGCCTCTCTCTGCCTCCCTCTGTCTCTCTCTGTCTCTCTCTGTCTCCCTGTGCCTCCCTCTGCCTCCCTCTGCCTCCCTCTGCCTCTCTCTGCCTCTCTCTGCCTCTCTCTGTCTCTCTCTGTCTCCCTCTGTCTCCCTCTGCCTCCCTCTGCCTCCCTCTGTCTCTCTCTGTCTCTCTCTGTCTCCCTCTGCCTCCCTCTGCCTCCCTCTGCCTCCCTCTGTCTCTCTCTGTCTCCCTCTGCCTCCCTCTGCCTCTCTCTGTCTCTCTGTCTCCCTCTGTCTCTCTGTCTCTCTCTGCCTCCCTCTGCCTCTCTCTGCCTCTCTCTGCCTCTCTCTGCCTCTCTCTGTCTCCCTCTGCCTCCCTCTGCCTCTCTCTGTCTCTCTGTCTCCCTCTGTCTCTCTCTCTGCCTCTCTCTGTCTCCCTCTGTCTCTCTCTCTGCCTCTCTCTGTCTCTCTCTGTCTCTCTCTGTCTCTCTCTGTCTCTCTCTGTCTCTCTCTGTCTCCCTCTGTCTCCCTCTGCCTCCCTCTGTCTCTCTCTGTCTCTCTCTGTCTCTCTCTGCCTCTCTCTGCCTCTCTCTGTCTCCCTCTGCCTCCCTCTGCCTCTCTCTGTCTCTCTGTCTCCCTCTGTCTCCCTCTGCCTCCCTCTGCCTCCCTCTGCCTCCCTCTGTCTCTCTGCCTCCCTCTGTCTCTCTCTGCCTCCCTCTGCCTCTCTGCCTCTCTCTGTCTCTCTCTGTCTCTCTCTGTCTCCCTGTGCCTCCCTCTGCCTCCCTCTGCCTCCCTCTGCCTCCCTCTGCCTCCCTCTGCCTCTCTCTGCCTCTCTCTGCCTCTCTCTGTCTCTCTCTGTCTCTCTCTGTCTCTCTCTTGTCTCTCTCTTGTCTCTCTCTGTCTCTCTCTGTCTCTCTCTGTCTCCCTCTGTCTCCCTCTGTCTCCCTCTGTCTCTCTCTCTGCCTCCCTCTGCCTCTCTCTGTCTCCCTCTGTCTCCCTCTGTCTCCCTCTGCCTCCCTCTGCCTCCCTCTGCCTCCCTCTGTCTCTCTCTGTCTCTCTCTGCCTCTCTCTGTCTCCCTCTGCCTCCCTCTGTCTCTCTGTCTCCCTCTGTCTCTCTGTCTCCCTCTGCCTCTCTCTGTCTCTCTGCCTCTCTCTGTCTCTCTGCCTCTCTCTGTCTCTCTCTGTCTCTCTCTGCCTCCCTCTGCCTCTCTCTGCCTCTCTCTGTCTCCCTGTGCCTCCCTGTGCCTCCCTCTGTCTCTCTCTCTGCCTCTCTCCGTCTCCTCCTCTGTCTCCCTCTGTCCATAGTGGTCCCTCTCTCACCAGTTTTAGTTTCTCCTTCCTCCTCTTGCCGGGGCCCGATGAGGAGGAGCTGGGGCCGGACTCCTGGAGCGTGTTGCCGTCGTCGTCGATCTCGGGGCCCTCGTCATCAAAGCACCAGTCGGGCAGCGCGGGGGCGGCGGGCGCGTCCTCTTCGTCTCCATAGCGACGGAACAGCTCTTTCAGATACTCCCCCTTGTAGATCCCAGGGGCCCGGGCCTGAGAGAAGGCGGCCACAGCTGCTTCCACACTGATAACAGACACAGACAGAGTCACAGGCAGCAAGAGTCGGGAAGGAGGGTTTGGTTTAAGACGCTTTAGGAGGATATAAGGTGTCTGTGAACTGTGTGAGGAAGCATGGTCATGTGATCCAGGCCCCCACGGTGCCCACTCACCCCCTCTCCCCACTCCCTCTCCTCCCACATCAAAGTCAGAATCACCTCACCCATCCAGATATAAAGACATGCATATTTCATTTTGATTCAATTTATTCTTGTATAGCCCTAAATGTATTGTGTTATTTATGCACAGTCCTGTCACTCATTGGTTAAAGCAATACGTGTGTGTGTGTCTTAGTGTCTGTATTAGTGTGTTTTGTCTGTGTGGGTATTAGTGTGTGTTTTTGTCTGTCTGTCTGATTTAGTGTGTGTGTGTCAATAAAACTACATTATTTTATCTTGTTTATTTTGATATTTTGTATGAAACAATGTAAGTTTGACATTAATACTCAGCATACCAGCTCTGAGGTTCAAAATGACTGCTGTTCATTTTCATAACACCAGCTTTTTAATAGAAAAGACAAATGCAAATCGCTTGAGGAGCAGAAATATGTACATGTCCCTGGTTTAATAAAGGATTTTTATTTTAAAAGTCAGAATGTCTCATCATTTTCCACCGCTGAACGACTCATACGAGACATAAGAGAAATTAAATTAAATCACTGCCTTGCCTCTGCTTTCCATTACCACTCATGGGTCTGTAGGTGGAGGCGAGCCACACCCGCCCTGAGACAGATCCCGGCCAGAACAAGACTTTATTGTTGTGTGGAGGAAGCAGTGGGTGGCTGCATATGGGATGAGTTTACATAAGGCTGTAAATGCATGTCCTGGGGATTCAGACCTCTCCCCTGGATGAGTCCTCACTCTGTCTTCTTCTACTGTTCAATTATGCAAACGCAGTTCGGCCCTGAGGTGGTGATCCGCCGGCTTTATCAGTCCTGACAGTTCCCACGGCTGGACCTACACTAAAGCTGAAGCTAAGCTGACTGAGGCTATGTGACAGAGGAGAGAAAAGGCACTTGTTGTACACCCTCAGTCCTGGGTCTACAGCCTGAGTCCTGGATCTACAGCCTGAGTCCTGGATCTACAGCCTGAGTCCTGGATCTACAGCCTGAATCCTGGATCTACAGCCTGAATCCTGGATCTACAGCCTGAGTCCTGGATCTACGGCCTCAGACCTGGATCTACAGTCTCAGACCTGGATCTACAGTCTCAGACCTGGATCTACAGTCTCAGACCTGGATCTACAGTCTCAGACCTGGATCGACAGTCTCAGACCTGGATCGACAGCCTCAGTCCCGTCCTGGATCTACAGCCTCAGTCACATCCAGGATCTACAGCCTCAGTCCCGTCCTGGATCTACAGCCTCAGTCCCGTCCTGGATCTACAGCCTCAGTCCCGTCCTGGATCTACAGCCTCAGTCCCGTCCTGGATCTACAGCCTCAGTCCCGTCCTGGATCTACAGCCTCAGTCCCGTCCTGGATCTACAGCCTCAGTCCCGTCCTGGATCTACAGCCTCAGTCCCGTCCTGGATCTACAGCCTCAGTCCCGTCCTGGATCTACAGCCTCAGTCCCTCAGTCCTGGATCTACAGCCTCAGTCCTCCCCTAGTCCTGGATCTACAGCCTCAGTCCCGTCCTGGATCTACAGCCTCAGTCCCGTCCTGTATCTACAGCCTCAGTCCCGTCCTGGATCTACAGCCTCAGTCACGTCCAGGATCTACAGCCTCAGTCCCGTCCTGGATCTACAGCCTCAGTCACGTCCAGGATCTACAGCCTCAGTCCCGTCCTGGATCTACAGCCTCAGTCCCGTCCTGGATCTACAGCCTCAGTCACGTCCAGGATCTACAGCCTCAGTCACGTCCAGGATCTACAGCCTCAGTCACGTCCAGGATCTACAGCCTCAGTCACGTCCAGGATCTACAGCCTCAGTCACGTCCAGGATCTACAGCCTCAGTCCCGTCCTGGATCTACAGCCTCAGTCCCGTCCTGGATCTACAGCCTCAGTCACATCCTGGATCTACAGCCTCAATCACATCCTGGATCTACAGCCTCCGTCAAGTCCAGGATCTACAGCCTCAGTCCCGTCCAGGATCTACAGCCTCCGTCAAGTCCAGGATCTACAGCCTCAGTCCCGTCCAGGATCTACAGCCTCAGTCCCGTCCTGGATCTACAGCCTCAGTCCCGTCCTGGATCTACAGCCTCAGTCACATCCTGGATCTACAGCCTCAGTCACATCCTGGATCTACAGCCTCCGTCAAGTCCAGGATCTACAGCCTCAGTCCCGTCCTGGATCTACAGCCTCAGTCCTGGATCTACAGCCTCAGTCCTGGATCTACAGCCTCAGTCCTGGATCTACAGCCCAGTCTACGGACAGCATCCTGGACATATATAAACATTTCTGGACAGTGATCGCCGTCTATTAACCAATTGCTCGTATGTCTTTGTTATTATTGCATTTCCTTGGATTCTCTGATCCGTTATTGGGATTCAGGGCTATACAACACACACATGGAATTGAATTGTAGCTTGTGCGTGATGCTGACGACCGCTATGGTGGCGGTGGGGGCCGAGCATGAGTCAGACAATGCGGTGAGGCGAGATGTGAACCGCATGCATAACCAGCTCCTCACCTCCAGTCCATCTTGTCCACCAGGTACGCGCAGATCAAAAAGCCGGTGCGGTTGAAGCCATGCGTGCAGTGAACACCTTTGACAGAGGGAGAGGGGACAGAAACACAAAGTCAAGCATTTTGGAGAGAATTTCAAACAGGGACCAACACAAAATACATAAAATTGGTCTGAAAGCCTGAATACATAATTGATAGAGCTTTATAATTAGGCCCAATTACACAGTTTTCAGTCAATTGAACTTGGCACTTTGTATTGTTATGCTAAATTATGCAGTTTGTCTCAACAGAGAGAGTTGTAAAAGTAAAGTGTTGGGAATAAATCAGACCAGAGCATTCTCTCAGAGCCGTGTGAGTCACTATTTGACGATTTGGGCTGAAAGGTGATTGGCTGAGTGTGACAAAATACATGAAACGATTGATAGAAGCAACTGTTTTAGAGTGGCGAGACCAGGGGAGACCAGACATCAGACCAAGACCAGTCCATGATCATGACCAAACAAAAGCCAGGACCTATCCCGGACCGCAACCAGACCCGGATCAAGACCAAAATCAAACCAAAACTAGACCAAAACTAGGCCGACACCAGACCAAGGCCAGGACCATATGATAACTAGTGAAAGAAGCAAACTCTTGAGAGTGAAGAACTAGTTACCAGTACCTCAGGGACTTTTAAGCACCTGTGTATAAACCTCACCAGCTACTTTGAAAATAAAGGATTTTTCCCCACATAAAGGCCTCACTGGAATATAAGCCTCAGGTTATAAAGTAAAACTGAACCAACAGCCGATGGAAACAAAGCAGATAGACGACTGTTTTAACTGGACACAACAGGATTTAATGATGTTAAGATCAAACCACTTCGGAAATCTAATCTGAATTGAATTATATAAAATACCAACAATATTATAATAATTAAAATATATTGCATTCCAACTAAAACTAAGTTAAAATAGTAAGTGTAAAAATAACCTGTGTCCTGTGTATTTCCCTCCTCCTCCTCATGTCTCTGCTGTTCACATAAACACACACGAAGCAGGAATGTGTGCTACAATTTTGTTTAGGTGCCCCAGCTTTTATACTAAACATTGAACTGAGACATAAGCCTGACTCAACTCGACTCTGGTCCTGGTTCTATCCAGTCCGACCTGGTACTTAAGTGTTCTAACTGACAAGAGTGCTGCTGGAAGCCATGGTTACCAAGGAATTTCCCCGGATACTGGTTTGCTGTGGAACGCTTGCTAGAATATGGTACTAGATGCTAAGGCATAATGGAAATATAACCAGGTAGAGTAGGGTAGAGTAGAGTAGGGTAGAGTAGGGCTGGTGGAAACAGGGCTTGACTCCACATCTTTTCTAGACCACAAGGAGGCCAGGACTAAAACAGGGCCAAAGCAAGTCAAACCAGGATCCAACCAGGACAGGAGTAAGCCTATTCTGCTATTACCAAAAAAAGTATAATTTGCAATGTCTCTTGAACCACGAACATTTTGAACAATGCAGCGTAATGCATTAGCGCCGGCCCAGTGGTTTAGCAAAATCTTATTCAAAGGGGTTCCACTCCTCGCATCGATGGCACTGGCTCTTACCGAGACGTAGTGGGCCGTGCGACAAGAGACGAGGCATCACTCACAAATCAAGCACTCTGAGCCCCGTCTGGTTCAATGGGGGTCCTGCATTTACATTCATATATACAAAAACATCTTGGCTACGCAGAGACGAAATGCCAAGGGAGATGACAAAAAGCCTGCATGAAAACAACACAACAGAAAATAGATGGATTTGATGGAACTGGAGGAAAATAAAATCAGTCTGAAAGCATTGTCTGTTGTCGAGCGAAGGCGAAATTGTCTTGGAGATGCGAAATAGATCAATATCTCTCTAATTTTAGAACAAGCGGCGATGTCACAAACACCTGTTGTTCATAAAACGAGAAGCAGAGCCAATGATAGGGTTTGGGTCTCGTGGTATTGAGTTTGGGAAATAGAGAAATCGCAGCGTGACGATTAGCTGTCACCATCTGCCCAAAACGAGGACTGTGCTGTGTTAGCGTTCAGGCCTTCTGTTTTGGGATATTTGCTCCAGTATCCGGGCAGGAGTTAAGTCAACGACGGGAGCACATGGAGGAGAAAAGTAAGAATATTAGTGGGAAGTGGACTGGAAAGCTAGGTTTCAAATAATTAAAAAATCTACGGTTAATCCTACAGTTAATCTCAGGTGGAAAAATGACCTATTTTAGTCCCGGAGAGAGCAGCTTCAGTGACAGACCGGTCTACCCTCACCGGTCTACCCTCACCGGTCTACCCTCACCGGTCTACCCTCACCGGTCTACCCTCACCGGTCTACCCTCACCGGTCTACCCTCACCGGTCTACCCTCACCGGTCTACCCTCACAGGTCTACCCTCACAGGTCTACCCTCACCCGTCTACCCTCACCAGTCTACCCTCACAGGTCTACCCTCACCTGTATACCCTCACCGGTCTACCCTCACCGGTCTACCCTCACCGGTCTACCCTCACCGGTCTACCCTCACCGGTCTACCCTCACCGGTCTACCCTCACCGGTCTACCCTCACCGGTCTACCCTCACAGGTCTACCCTCACAGGTCTACCCTCACCTGTCTACCCTCACAGGTCTACCCTCACAGGTCTACCCTCACAGGTCTACCCTCACAGGTCTACCCTCACAGGTCTACCCTCACAGGTCTTTCCTTCCTGCTGCTGTCAGACTGTACAACAACAACTGCCGAGCCTGTTTAGGGCAACATATGTAATGTGCAATGTTGTGCTTTCAGAATGTCCATTGAATCTCACCTCAATTCTACATCTATCAATTCTGCCCATTAGATAAAATAAGATAAACTTTATTAATCCCGAAGTAAATTACTCTCTCATTCAGTCACATATTAAATAAGTTGCTAAAACATCATAAAAACATTACAAAAGAAAGTAAATATACTATCATACCATATTGCACTTATATTATATGTATTGATATATATTTATGTCCCTATTAAGAAGCATTCACAGATAAATATGTCTGTACATTTTGTGCTCTTACTCCTGTCCTGTATGCGCGCTGCTACACTGACATTTCCTCACTGTGGGACGATTAAAAGGTTCTCTTTAAGAAGAATACAAGGCAGAGAAGCATTTGGATTAGAATGATATGGGAGTTCATCAACTATGAGTTTAGATTTGTCACTCAATCTGTTTCTTGAGGGACAAAATGCAGCCGTGAATTAATAACAACAACAAAAAAGAAACCAAAGAAATAGATTAATTTCAAAAATGGCTTTAACCTTGAACTGTACGCATTGGCTGCAATCACACAAAGAGTGACGCTGCCCTCTGGTGGGTACAGGGATAACAGCAAGTTTTTTTTTTCCTAAATGTTTTGTTATTTGCAGAAGACGTGCACAAACCAATGCAAATAAAATATATCAGGACTCAGGAGTATATAAATTTGAACACACAAATATTAACAATGTAATAAGGTTCATGTCAGTGGTTTTTTAGGGTTTGGCCTCAACATCAGATTTAGTTTAAGAATTTAAAAAAAGCCCTCGCTCAGCTCTCAATCAACTCTTATTGTTCATGGCGCCACCTGCAGGTGAATGCCAGATCCTGTCAGACCTCTGAAGCTAAGCAGAACATGGCAATCTAAGGGAATTAACCAGAATTTAAGGGAAAAAACTGGGAATTATCCAAATTGAAGGTTTTATAAATATCATATACAAACGTACTAATCTAGTAGGTAGCAAGCAGATAAGGTAGATGCTAAATAAGCTAGCATGTTTAATGTGGAATGTTTTGGAGGGAGCCTGCTTTAGACCTGCTTTAGACCTGCTTTAGACCTGCTTTAGACCTGCTTTAGACCTGCTTTAGACCTGCTCTAGACCTGCTCTAGTCCTGCATTAGACCTGCTTTGGACCTGCTTTGGACCTGCTTTGGACCTGCTTTGGACCTGCATTAGACCTGCATTAGACCTGCTTTAGACCTGCTTTGGACCTGCATTAGTCCTGCATTAGTCCTGCATTAGTCCTGCATTAGTCCTGCATTAGTCCTGCATTAGTCCTGCATTAGTCCTGCATTAGTCCTGCATTAGACAAGCTATAGACCAACTTCAGTCCTGCTTTAGTCCTGCTTTAGTCCTGCTTTAGTCCTGCTTTAGTCCTGCTTTAGTCCTGCTTTAGTCCTGCTTTAGTCCTGCTTTAGTCCTGCTTTGGTCCTGCTTTAGTCTTGCTTTAGTCTTGCTTTAGTCTTGCTTTAGTCCTGCCTTAGTCCTGCCTTAGTCCTGCCTTAGTCCTGCCTTAGTCCTGCCTTAGTCCAGCTTTAGACCAGCTTTCGAATTGCTTTAGACCTGCTTTAGACCTGCTTTAGACCTGCTTTAGACCTGCTTTAGTCCTGCTTTAGTCCTGCTTTAGTCCTGCTTTAGTCCTGCTTTAGTCCTGCTTTAGTCCTGCTTTAGTCCTGCTTTAGTCCTGCTTTAGTCCTGCTTTAGACCAGCTTTAGAACTGCTTTAGACCTGCTTTGGACCTGCTTTGGACCTGCTTTGGACCTGCTTTGGACCTGCTTTGGACCTGCATTAGACCTGCATTAGACCTGCTGCTTTAGACCTGCTTTGGACCTGCATTAGTCCTGCATTAGTCCTGCATTAGACCAGCTATAGACCAGCTATAGACCAACTTTAGTCCTGCTTTAGTCCTGCTTTAGTCCTGCTTTAGTCCTGCTTTAGTCCTGCTTTAGTCCTGCTTTAGTCCTGCTTTAGTCCTGCTTTAGTCTTGCTTTAGTCTTGCTTTAGTCTTGCTTTAGTCTTGCCTTAGTCCTGCCTTAGTCCTGCCTTAGTCCTGCCTTAGTCCAGCTTTAGACCAGCTTTAGAATTGCTTTAGACCTGCTTTAGACCTGCTTTAGACCTGCTTTAGACCTGCTTTAGACCTGCTTTAGTCCTGCTTTAGTCCTGCTTTAGTCCTGCTTTAGTCCTGCTTTAGTCCCGCTTTAGTCCTGCTTTAGTCCTGCTTTAGACCAGCTTTAGAATTGCTTTAGATCAGCTTTAAACCAACTTTAGACCAGCTTTAGACCAGCTTTAGACCTGCTTTAGACCAGCTTTAGACCTGCTTTAGACCTGCTTTAGACCTGATTTAGACCTGCTTTAGCTATGAAGACGAGACCTTGCTGAACTTCTTACCTATGAGTTCTGTGGGGTTCTTCTCTATGAAGTGCTCACAGAGTCTGATGAACATAGCAGTAGTGTCGGGCGAAGGACACTCCCCATGTCTGAAAGAACAGAACAGTAAGTCTCAGCGTTCACAACACACGTTAACAAATATGGATAAGTCTTGTACCCTTTACACTGGAGTTTCACATATTTGATGCCTTCTTTTTCGATCTCGTTGCGATCGTAGAAGCGAGTAGTGTTCGTCAAATCCACAAGCAAGCCCATTTTCACCTGAAGAAAACATTCAGATAAACCCACAGTTATGAATGAATCAAGACTGACAGATTTACATTCATACTCTAAACAAGAATCCAGACTGAGATACTTACATTCATACTCTTTAAGTAGTTGGACAGCATTCCCGGGTGGAACCGGTTTTCTTCAGCCACATCTTGATCATATCTGGGACCAAGCATCGTTTTCATTGGTAGAAATTTACCTAAATATAAAAAATACATGGTATAAAACACAGCCCAAACCTTTTTGATGTGTTACTACCTCACATCAGCAGCAAACACTAGGGATGCACCGATACCACTTTTTTTCTTTAAAACAGATACAAGTCCAAGTACCTTAATTTGAGTACTTGCCAATACCGGGTTATTCCTGGGAATTCATAAAACTAATACAGATTTTTAGAGCTCTTATGTCACACAATCTAAATGAATGATATAAAAGCAAAATTACTCAAACGGTAAATCCTTGTAAACATAAATGTCTGCTGTTGTGACGCTAATGTAAATAAAAAATGACTATGGGTTGCCAGCATCGGGTCCTATGGTACAAGTACGAGTACAAGCCTATGGTATCGACCTGATATCCATCCCTACCAAATACAACATTTTGTCACACAATCAAATACAAATAAATTATTACATTAATATTACATATAAAGTCAGCGGCTGGAACTGCTCAACTCAAATGTCACATTTAATATGGTCTGTACATGAACTGAAGCAAACACTGAGGAGGGCAGTGCAAAAACGTTATCCTTGACATTGAGGACACAGGACTTTATTAGAGATAAGACATCATTATTTTCTGAATAGCGGACTCTGACATAAATGGGAAGCTCCCAGCACATCACTAACATTATTAACATACAACAGACTAGACTATCATAGAGGAACATAAAACTTAGAGGGAAATGACCAGAGAAAAAAACAGATAATTATTGAATTCAATTTTGCAACACTTTGCTCTACTGCATCCCCCCCACCTACTGTGTTTATGTGCTCAGTGGCGAGGACCACATGACATGACAGATGAGGGCCGCAATTGGCTCGCTGGCCTTACTTTGGTCATGCCTGAGTTGAACCATTTCCACCAGCTCTACTCTGCACGGCTCTATTCTACCCTGAGTGGGAGCGTTTCCACCCGCCCTTCTACGTTCTATCCAGGCCCAGATGGTACTAAAGTGTTCTAACTGACAGTGGTGGGCCGGAGTGCTGAGTAGGGCTGGTGGAAACGGGGCTAGAGATCCATAAGTGCGCGCCATTTCTGCAGCAGCCTCAGCATCAGCATCTACAGGAGAGTTTGTTTGGACACGTGACCCATGCACGTCTCAAGTCCAACAAAAACATCTGAATTACAGCTGAAAGCTTATTGCAGAATATGTATTTGACAATTAAAATCTATTCGCTATTTAAGCAATGATGTATTAATCTATGTTCTGGTGGAGATGTCATCAATTTCTTTCATTCCCACTGCACAACTATTTAATACAGTAATGTGTTCTGAGAAAGTCGATTCCATATTGTATTTACAACATGCAGCATGATGGCTCAGTATTAGCTTTACCCCACATGTCGACATGCTTATGTTTACAAACTCAGCACAGAGCAGATAAGCTTCCTCAGAAAGCTCCTAAAAGACATTTGTTATAATTCTCACCCGCCACAGGCTGTCCTCTGCGGGGACAGTTCCTCCAGCGGGGCGGGGGTCCGGTGTGTGACATAGTGAGATGTGTTTAGTCCAAAAGCCTGCAGCCTTCCCAGGGCTAGTTAGCTCTGTGCTTCCAGCTCCCGCAGGAGGACGCAGGGTTCCCGCTCGCACTTCACTCGAGCGCCGTGGATCCGCGGCCCTGAGCTGCAGCAGCAGAGCAGACCTCCACAAACACGGCTCTTATCCTTCTTCTGACCGGTCCTCATGCATTTCTGAGCTCGGGGATGTTTACGAATAGGCTGAGGTTATTTTCTCTCCTGGTTTGCTTCCCTTTACAGAGTAGTTAGTTGTTAGCTCTTAGCATAACATTACCACAGCTGCTGTTCTCGACAGAGCTAGCAGAAGCTAACAGCGCTAGCCTCCTTCTCCTGAGGATCAGTGTGGTCTGTAGCAACACTGCCCTCTGCAGTCAGGAGGGCCATACCACAGCTGCGGAGAATAACAGTAAGATGGATCAATCCTTTATTCCTTCCACACTGGGGAATTGCCAGTGTTGCAGTGAGCATACAAGAGCCTCAGCAGTTGTCATTGTACAGTCTGACAGCAAGAGGGAGGAAAGACCTGTGGAACCTCTCCTTCACATAGAAAGTGTGGAGCAGTCTGTCACTGAAGCTGCTCTCCATAGCAGACAGACAGTATCCTGCAGGGGGTGACAGTCATGGTCCTCCACATAGATGTTTGTTCAGGACCCTCCTGTCCCCACCTGCTGCTCTTTGTCCAGGGAACAGCCCAGGATAGAGCTGGACTTCCTGATGATCTCAGAGAATAGACTTTAATGTAGCAATATGTAAGATGTTTATTCTTTTCAAATACTTTTTTAACTGATAGCAGTAGTTTATACATTTTTGAATTTCAAAATTAGTTTTACAGCCCCTAAATCTTCAATGTCACCATCCACTGTTTTACCAACTAGAAAGTCCATGATCCGGGTTGCCAGAACTTACCACGTTACTTGTAAAGTAACATGTGGCCGCAGAACTGAAAAGGTCTTGTTATGATTCTCAAATAATTAATGAAAAAACAATTAATGAAATCCACGTTTTATTCCTTGTTTTGAAAAAGTTGTTTGTTATAGAATTATGGTCCCAGCTGGATTCTTCATGGCCTCGCACCAAAGATTACATTAGTGACATGTTAGTCCCACATGAACCGACCCGGACCCGGCCTGCTCAGCAGGTAGAGCCTCTGGTCCTTCTTAAAGTCTATTATTGGATTATCACAAGAATGTCTTGTTAATGGATCTTACTTTGTATACATTTTATTCAATGTTTAAACACAGCACAAATCTTCATATTCAAGATTCAAGATTAATTTATTACGTCCCGTAGGAAATTTGTCTTGGACTCTGTTGTATATTTTAACTATGCAGATGTGAATATTGGCTGACCCTGATTTGAACTGTCTTTTCCTAAAGCAAAAAGACCTGGTTTCCCCATGTTCCTTTGTTAGTCCAAAGTGCATGGGTGAGTTAATGATAGGTAATCTGGGGGGGGATTCTGCTAATCCTGAAGGAGGGGGACCCAGAGAGCCTTCTGCCTTATCTCAAAGAAGTAATAAATTTGGGGAGTGGTAGTGTGTGTGAATGATTCTGTTTAAGGTACGGCAGACAGAGGGGACATGATGGAAGAGGCCGGACCCAAGTCCTGCCTGATACGACACGCCCCCTGCTTCCTGAACATGGACTGATAATGCTCTGGCTTGAGAGGACACAGGAGAATGAGCCGAGGGCGAGCCAGGGACATGCATAGTTTTAGGAGCCCTCTTTGTTGGAATTTCTGTATCTGATTGTAAAGATAATTAAATACAGATGTTAAAACTTGGAGATCTGTTGTCATGCCTCTGCATCAACTCGAACACGTCAGTCAAGGGAATTATTGACTTCAACTCACTGCTACAGGGAAAATACACATAAGACAGACATAGAAACACAACACAGTGACACAGACATAAACATCACCGCTCTGCTCCATGGCACTCAGGATGTTCACAGATGCGGGTAGGACCCAGTTCTTACACCGGTTTAGATATATTTTCTTAATTATTGTTGGTACTCATTGCAGCGGCCTGATGGGAGGAGCTCATAAAGAGAGTAGAGGACATGAGAAGGGTCTGAGGTGATTTTCTTTCAGTCTCCTCAAATATCTGCTGCAAAGATGGATGCTCCCTAACTCCCACGACCTTAAGTCCTGTGCACATTAATCTTTTGTTTTAACAGTCAAATTCCCAAACACAAACACACCATATCTTACTATACTCATTTACAGCATGATAAAATAGTGTCATTATTTTCTGTTCGACTCCAAATAATCTTCCCATATTCAGCTCATTCATAAGTCTGTGTTATTCTCCTGTGGACTGCTAATGCACGGCCTCTGATTATGCCCTGATTGGATCCTTCCGGGCTTCCTCTTTCATGCGTTGGTTTGTTGTGTAATATCTGCCGTTTATTTCAGCGCTGTCTCAGTTCCTGTTACAGACATGTCCTGTTGAAGACCATGCCGCTTCAGACTCCAGCTCCTGACAGTCTGGACCGACACATTTGGACCGACACGTTTGGACCGACACGTTTGGACCGACACGTTTGGACCGACACGTTTGGACCGACTCGTTTGGACCGACTCGTTTGGACCGACACGTTTGGACCGACACGTTTGGACCGACTCGTTTGGACCGACTCGTTTGGATCCCACCATGTGTTTCTTCTTCATTCACTTTGTTTTATTTTTGCTTCTTGGAAACAGTAACGGTAAGATTTCTCTGTGCTCTTTCTTCTGCTTTTATTCTGCTGTAGCGACGACACTGACATCTCCCATATTTAAGCCTTGTTTCTACCAGTCCTACTCTACTCTACTCTACTCTACTCTACTCTACTCTACTCTACTGTACTCTACTGTACTCTACCCTATTCTACTCTACCCTACTCTACTCTACTCTACTCTACTCTACTCTACCGTACCCTACTCTACCTACTCTACTCTACTCTACTCTACCGTACCCTACTCTACCTACTCTACTCTACTCTACTCTACCGTACCCTACTCTACTCTACCGTATCCTACTCTACTCTACTCTACTCTACTCTACTCTACTCTACGCTACTCTACTCTACTCTACTCTACCCTACTCTACCCTACTCTACTCAGATTCACCCAGACTCGACCCAAGAAACACCACTGACTGCTTGATGTACTTTTATTTTCTATTTTTGTTCATTGAATTTCACTCTGTAGCACTTTGAGGTTTTGTGGAATTGTAAGATCCATTATAATTTAAATGTGTTTTTACTAATGGGTTCTATGTGTTTGTTATCATTACATTTAGTTTACATTACATTGAACTGTTTCTCTGATCTGTTGTGAAGTCCGCTGAGACTGTTGAGATTCAGGGCTATACACAAATACATTGACTTTAACTGAATTGTGTGTGTGTGTGTGTAAACTTTATATGTGTGTGTGAACGTTCTATGTGTGTGTCTCCAGGTGAGGACGAGCCCCAGTGCAGTATCTCCCCCACAGACGTGCAGCTGGAGGAGGGCTCTGAGGCTGAGTTCGTCTGCAGCAGCGCCTGTGTCACTGGAGCTGTGTTCTGGACCCTCAACGGCCGCCGTGTGAACGAGACCCTCTCCCATCGGCTCAATGCCACTCACACGGGGGTCCGGCTGTCCCACACAGACCTCCAGGACCCCTCCCACCCCACATCCACAGTGCAGTGCTACAGCCAGGAGAGCCACATGGTCCTGGGGGGAACCACGGTCAGAGTGTACAGTAAGAAACATTCACAAAGACGTTGATGTCAAAGAAGAAATTAAATGCAATGTTTTTTTCAGAAGAAGGTCCTTTTTTCGTCCTACAATGGGTAGATTTCAGTTTGATGCATACACGTTTCCAATACACATCAAGGCAAGCAGCGAACACCACTTCCACGCTCCTTATAGGCAAAGGGGGTTAAGTGTCTTGCCCAAGGACACAACGACAGCAGTGGGAGTCGGTGGAGAAGGTCTCTAATGGGCTCGAACCCACAACCTTCGGGCTCAAAGGTCAATGAGCCACTGTCGCCTCGTTTTTGGTTATAAAAATGATCAAAAATGAGCGTAGTGTGGTTTTAGAATGTGAAATGATATGTTAAGCATCAACTGTTAGAAATTATTTAAAAACATGTTTAGTTTTTTACTGTTATAAGTGTAAATATACACTACAATATGACTGTCTCTGAATTGTATTACACTACTACTGCGTTACTTTCCCAATATATATAAATACATACTATACATAGCTTATTCTGCTTTTGAGTGAAGTTGATAGGGCTTTTTTGGACGCCTTGCATTACCACGAAACAGCAAAAAGCAATACATTATAGTTACTTTTTGCTCCATCTCTCTCTGGCTCTTCTTGACTCATATGTAAAAGTAAAAACTCTAATAGCTCAGTAACTTTTGTGTCACAGTCACCGTTTTGGGCTTAAATCTGTGGTTTATAAATGTCTTCTTTGTAAATGGGTGAGTTCACAGTAAAGTGGTAATTATAGAATCTGGACTTTAAAAGGTTATAACTCAAAAACTAAAATTACAATCATAGCTTGGAGAAAAAAAAACAGACAAATCAAATAGATTCAAAGAATCAAAGTGGAAAAAAACAGAAGAAAAATTGACAAATACATTTTTGGCGAAATGTTAAATGTGAAATCAGCCTCGGACTTGATCATTACTGTGACTCATTGACAGTGAAAAGGTCGACAGTGACAAAGATGAACTCTCACAGATGAGCAATAACACAACATCAGGAAAGAACTTCATTAAAAAAAAAAAATGAATCAATACAAATTTTAAATACCGTTGAAAAGTGTGTAACGGACGCAATGATTTTGGTAAAAAAATCTAGAAATTAAACTCGAGATGAAACTTTACAAAAATGGCCGTCCTCTTTTACATTGAATTGGTTAACTATATGAAAGTAACCACTATGTTTGTTCACTATGTCAAATGTGGAAATCTGAAAAGGTGTCGCAAACTTCTGCAGCTCAGTCAAAGGATCAGGTCCGTGACACAGAACATGCTTTAGAACATGTGACTAATGTAAACAACAGTCTCTTCTAGAAACTACTAATGGACTGAAAGGGTAATCACATGTTTGGCCTTCTTCACACTTTTGTACCTTTGAACAAACCCAAATCCATCTAAGGATTGACCAATCAGAGACCTTCATTCACAGGGAAACTCCATCGTGCCTTAGCAACCGTCTTAGCAACATATCTTCCTCTGTTATCTGTCTATCTCTCTCTCTCTATCTAATCAAAATAATGTTCTACCGCCTTTACCTATTCAAGCATTGGTCTCATTTCATTCTCATTACCATCAGAAGCTTGGTTTAACTTTAGTGCATATTTACAGTAACACAATGTGAGTGACCGCACAAACACAACATGGTAAAGATTGGGCCAGTTCTCGTCTCAAACGTCCCATTTAAAGTGTGGCGTGCCCCAAGGCAGTGTTTTAGGCCCTACCCTTTTGTTTTTACATGCTTCCTTTAGGAGCTATGTTTGAGAGGCATAATATTTCTTACCACTGCTTTGATGATGTCCAAGTTTAGTGTATATCTGCCCATTCAGACCAGCAGCTCTGAAAAAACACTTGTTGATTGTTTTTAGGACGCTCAGAAATGGACGCAAGAAAAGGTTCATAGTTTAAACAAAGGGAAAACAGAAAGAATTACCTTCGAGACTTATTTTCTCACTGTCTGTAAGTGACAAAAGAAGTCTCTCTGTGGGCGTTCTCTCTGCATGGTCTCTCTCTCTGCGCCCTCTCTCTGCTCTCTCACTGTTCTCTTTCTGGTCTCTCTCTGGTCTCTCTCTGGTCTCTCTCTGCGCCCTCTCTCTGCGCCCTCTCTCTGGTCTCTCTCTCTTGTCTCTGTTCTTTCTCTCTGGTTTCTCTCTGGTCTGTCTGTCTCTTGTCTCTCTCTCTGGTCTCTCTCTGCTCTCTCTGGTCTCTCTCTCTCTGGTCTCTCTCTCTCTTGTCTCTTTCTCTGCTCTCTCTGGTCTCTCTCTCTCTGTTCTCTCTCTCTGGTCTCTCTATCTCTTGTCTCTCTGTTCTCTCTCTCTGGTTTCTCTCTCTGGTCTCTCTGTTCTCTCTCTCTGGTTTCTCTCTCTGGTTTCTCTCTGCTCTCTCTCTCTCTGGTCTCTCTCTCTCTCTTGTCTCTCTGTTCTCTCTCTCTCTTGTCTCTCTTTTCCCTCTTGTCTCTGATTTCTCTCTGCTCTCTCTGGTTTCTCTCTCTGGTTTCTCTCTCTGGTCTCTCTGCACCTTGGTAAGCCTAGGCTGTTTTAAATGTGCTCCACAAAGAAAGATTTGATTGATTGATGTCTAAGAAACGTCACTGTTAACTTGTTTTTTTGTCTAAATTTTTCTCTATTTTTTCAGCTAAACTTCGAGGCTTGTCGTGTGTTTTTCATTCCGATCCAAATGCATGGGATGGTGTCCTGCCGCAGCTGCTCACCTGCAGCTGGGAGCATCATGTGCACTCTCACATCAAAGTCACCTACTCTCTCACATGGTCAGTGGGGATTCTTTAAACAGAGGTCTCTCACTTCGTTCATCCAGGGTAGAGTCTGTCTACATCTACGCAGACAGATGAACGGTCTCTCTCTCTGATCTCTCTTTCTCTTGTTTCTCTTCTCTCTCTTTCTGGTCTCTCTTGCTCTTGTCTCTCTCTCTTTGGTCTCCTCTGTGGTCTCTCTCTATCTCTCTCTGGTCTCTCTCTCTGGTCTCTTCTCTCTCTCTTCTCTCTCTGGTTTCTCTCTCTCTGGTCTCTCTTTCTCTTGTCTCTCTCTCTGGTCTCTCTCTCTCTTCTCTCTCTGGTTTCTATCTCTCTGGTTTCTATCTCTCTGGTCTCTCTCTCTCTGGTCTCTCTCTGGTCTCTCCCTCTGGTCTCTCTGTCTCTCTCTCTTGTCTCTCTCTGGTCTCTCTCTTCTCTCTGGTTTCTCTCTCTCTTGTCTCTCTCTGGTGTCTCTCTGGTTTCTCTCTCTCTTGTCTCTCTCTGGTGTCTCTCTGGTTTCTCTCTCTCTTGTCTCTCTCTGGTGTCTCTCTGGTTTCTCTCTCTCTTGTCTCTCTCTGGTGTCTCTCTGGTCTCTCTCTGTCTTGTCTCTCTCTGGTCTCTCTGGTCTCTCTCTGTCTTGTCTCTCTCTGTCTTGTCTCTCTCTTCTCTCTGGTTTCTCTCTCTCTTGTCTCTCTCTGGTCTCTCTCTTCTCTCTGGTTTCTCTCTCTCTTGTCTCTCTCTGGTGTCTCTCTGGTTTCTCTCTCTCTTTTGTCTCTCTCTGGTGTCTCTCTGGTTTCTCTCTCTCTTGTCTCTCTCTGGTGTCTCTCTGGTGTCTCTCTGGTCTCTCTCTCTGTCTCTCTCTGGTCTCTCTGGTCTCTCTCTGGTCTTGTCTCTCTCTGGTCTCTCTGGTCTCTCTCTGGTCTCTCTCTGGTCTCTCTCTCTCTCTCTCTCTCTCTCTCTCTCTCTCTCTCTCTCTCTCTCTCTCTCTCTCTCTCTCTCTCTCTCTCTCTCTCTCTCTCTCTCTCTCTCTCTCTCTCTCTCTCTCTCTCTCTCTCTCTCTCTCTCTCTCTCTCTCTCTCTCTCTCTCTCTCTGGTCTCACTCTCTCTGTGGTCTCCCTTTTTACAGGGCTGCAAGTTTGAGACCACTGCTTTTGAATGAACAACAACAACAATATCAATAATAATAATGTCTTTCTCTTTTATAAGTGTGTTTTTTGTGTGCAGTGGTCAGTGTGGGGCTGGCTCCAGGGTCATCTGTGCCTCAGACGTCTCCCACTGCACCAGGCGGACTCTGGACCTGCCTCAGATCTCGTTCCTCGATAAAAATACAGTTTATGTGGAGGCCAAAACTGAGCGATGGGAAACGCGCTCTGCTGATTACACCTTTACAGCTTTGCAAATCTGTGAGTGACCTGCAGCTGTGTTTGGAAGTCTACACTCTCAGCCAGAGGTGTCATTGTTTTGGCCTTAACACATAACACTGGGTTTGAATGAGTGGAGTTTGCATGTTCTCCCTGTGTCGGCGTAGGTTACCACTAAAACATTGTGCAATACATGTACAATGGGTCATATTCTCCAGCTCTGGTTCGGACCAAGCCAAGCATCAATATCTGGAGGAGGGTCCTATGGCTCTGGTCTCTCTCTCTGGTTTTCCTCTGGTGTCTGTCTGGTCTCTCTCTAGTCTGTCTCTCTCAGGTCTCTCTCTCTGCTCTCAACCCTCTGTTCTCTCTCTGGTCTCTATTTTTCTGTTCTCTTCTTCTCTGGTCTCTCTCTGGTCCCTGTCTTTTCTCTCTCAGGTCTCTCTCTCTGGTCTTTCTCTTTGGTCTTTCTCTGGTGTCTGTCTGGTCTCTCTCAGGTCTCTCTCTCTGGTCTCTCTCTCGTCTTTCTCTGAACTCTCTCTGGTCTCTCTCTGGTCTCTTTTTCTGGTCTCTCTCTTTTCTCGCTCTAGTCTGTCTCCTTGTCTCTCTCTGGTCTCTCTCTTTTCTTTCTCTGGTCTCTCTCAGGTCTCTCTCTCTCGTCTCTCTCTCGTCTTTCTCTGAACTCCCTCTGGTCTCTCTCTGGTCTCTCCCTTTGGTCTCTACTTTCTGATCTCTTCTTCTCTGGTGTCTCTCTGCTCTCACTCTTGTTTCTGGTCTCTCTTTCTCTGGTCCCTTTTTCTGCATACCAGAAAGAGAAACCAGGTGCAGTTAAAAGTCCAGCACGTACTGTAATCTCATTAATAAAACTGTTTTTTTCTTCCTGGGAGTGTGTTTCTTCAAGCGCAGCTGTAACATCAAACAAGAAGCTACATATTCTTCTTATTGATTTCACATTTTTGTTGTATTTGTTCTTAATTCCAGTCAAAGTTCCTCCTCCAAAAGTCACCGTCACTGCACTTTCAGACCATTTGCTGGTGCAGTGGAGCAGTCTCCCCAAATTCAGAGTCGACGGCAGATGCCAAGTCAGATACAAGCACACAGAGGTCGGTCCCAAAGTCTCTATCTACAAGAAATGAGGTTAATCATAAATATGTTTTAGTAAGTTTTATTTGCCAATTGTCGCTGATTTGTGTGTGTTCTGTTTATGATTCGGGCCCTGCTGTTTCTCCAAAAGAATAAAGAAATCGTTGAGGTAAAGACTTTTCATTTTCTCTCTCTGTCGATACTGGAGGGTCTAAGGTCAGAGATGATCTAAGACCTTTAAAAACATTTATGATTATGTGCTTTGGGTAATTACTGAAAGGACAAGATCGCTGATTAAAGCGCCCCACCCAAGCTTAGAGATAGAGTGAGGAGCTTGGAATAGAGCCACTGTTTCTCCTCCATTGAGAGGAGCCAGTTGCGGAGGAGATCGTGGACAGACCCAGGACACAGAGGGACTGTGACTCTCAGCTGGGAACGCCTCAGGATTCCCCCAGATGAGCTGCAGGAGGTGTCTGGGGAGAGGGAGGTCTGTGTCTCTACTTAGACAGCTGCCCCCGGGACCTGGCAATTAATTGTATTTACTGATTAAACTGATTCTCTGATCTGATGTTGGCAAATCCACAACTTTGTAAAGTCCTCTCTCTTTCTGATCTCTCTCACACTCTGGTTTCTCTCTCTGGTCTGTCTGGTCTCTCTCTCTCTGGTCTTTCTCTGGTCTCTCTCTCTGATTTCTCTCTGGCATCCCTCTCTGGTCTCTCTCTCTCTGGTCCCTCTCTCTGATCTCTCTCTCTGTTTTTTATCTCTGGTCTCTCTCTCTGGTCTCTTTCTCTCTGGTCTCTCTCTCTCTGGTGTCTCTCTGTGGTCGTTCTCTCTGGTCTCCCTGGTCTTTCTCTGCTCTCTCACTGCTCACTCTTTCTGGTCTCTCTCTCTCTTTGCTCTCTCTTTGTCTGAATTGTACTACATCTCCGCCTCTCTCTCGGTGTGTTGTCCCAGGACCAGTTGAATGTGACTCTGACTGCGGATGAAAGAGGAAAGCTGAGGATAGATGCCGCTGGTTCTTGTCGCACATATGGTGTTAGCGTTCGCTGTGCGTTAGCCGAGGCACCGTGGAGCGACTGGAGCCCAGAGACCAGCACTCACACGCTCCTCAAACGTGAGCTCTACCACAACATTGTTATCACCACATCCACTGGTCACTTTACCTGCTGCTGTTGTTACTATTGTTTATTCCGGTCTCATCATCATCTCATTCCTTGGTCTTGCTTTTGATCATTATTTTCATTTTGACAGATAGATAGATAAATAGATACTTTATTGATCCCTGTAGAAGAAATTCAGGTGTCCAGTAGCAGCAAAAATTTAAAACATCTAAATTCATTCTAAAAAGATAACAATAGAAAGTGGAGTAGCCTCTGGGTGGAGCAGGACGGGTCAAAAGGTGGAGTAGCCTCTGGGTTCGGACCATTTTCTCTGCTCTGGTCCAAAGTAAAATGCTAAATGCTTCATTAGCATTTTTCAAAAAGTCAGCATTCCTCCAGTGGATTTTCACCTGATCCACTTGGTTCGGACCATGAATCCTCTCTGCTCTGGTCTGGACCAGTGTAAAACCATGAACACTCTACTGCAGCAACATCTCAGGCAGAAACAAGCAATAAGTATAAAAATGGTAAAGCACAAAACAACAACTGTTTCAGAGGCACTTAGGACTCGCAGACAGTTTGGTCAGGTCAAGTTTTTATCAGCTGCGTATTTTAACTCAGGTAAAGCCTTTTTAAAGCCGCTCAGACCTGAAAACAACGCTTTTATCAGTTGAAGAATTGATGACTGTAATGCCCTTTATTTTGGAGTTCCCAGTCTTGTTTTAATCTTCAGTTGGTGCTAAATGCTGCTGGTGCTTTTTAACAAACACACACAGACGTAAACACATCACCCCTGTACTTTCATCCCTACGTTGGCTTCCAGTCTCGTTTCCAGTTGATTTGAAAATGTTACTGTTTGTTTTTAAAGCCCTCAACGGTCTCGCCCTCTGCACTTGTCCAAACTTTGGACCGATTGATCAACTCATTCTAGCACCGGTTAGCACTCTCACTTCTCAACAAGAAGGTCCTGGGTTCAAATCCTGGTGGGAACAGGGCCTTTCTCAGTGGAGTGTGTGTTCTCCTCTTGTCTGCGTGGGTTTCCTCAGGGTGCTACGGTTTACCACTAAAAACATGTACGATAGGTAATCTGGATCGGACCATCGTACTTCCTGGTTCTAGTCAGGATTAGTTTAAGATCAGTATCTCCCAGTCTGATTTAGAGACTATATTTTTGATTCTGCCAATGTTTTTGATGGTAAAAAACTTTATCTTGATTTGAGGCGACTGTTACGATTTTATCATAAAAGGCACGTATGAATAATTGCAGTATTGACAAAACGTCGTATTATCGGTAGCTATAGTGAAGTGAATGACACCGTATTATACAAGACTTTCTTTCAAACAGTGACTTTTTATTCACTCGTTTAGGGAGCGACGTGAAGCTGGACGTGTGGAGAAAAGTATTGACGCTGCACGAAGAATCTCTGGTTCACGTCATGTGGAAGGTACAAATGTGTAAATATGTGCAGATAATATACAGCGCCTCTCAAATCCACTTTTACACCATGAACTTTGTTGTCCTTGTTGTCCAACCAAACACATAAAGATTTAATTTTTGAATTGTCTGAACGTTCACACGCAAGCAACCAAAAAACTGAAAACAAGTGAAAGAAAACCCATACATGAATTTGTTAATGTTATCAAAATACTGAAAAATAGAAAACTGAAAAGCAGAGCACACATAAGACCTTGGAAGCTGTGCAGGGCAGGGCCTGGTTAGTACTGTGATGGGAGACCTCTGGGAACACCAGGTGCAAAAATGTGACAAAAACATGACGAAATGTGCAGTAGTTCAAGTTTTATCGCTCTATTATGACCTCAGACGGAATAAAAGTATTGAAAGTCTGTTTGTTCAGGGGTTGCCTTCACATTGCCCGGGTGTATTGACTTTCGCTGTGAGAGAACAAGACCAAAACCAGCTCCTGTCGACCAATCAGAGCTGGGTTCCGTGTGCAAAAAGCCCGTGTGACATCATTACCAAAGAAGACGTCCTGAATCTCGCCGTTTTCTACGACGGACACTTACTGGTGGAGGCCTCGCTGCTTCTCTCACCCTTCTCTGGAAACGACTCAGACCGTAAGTGCTATTGATTGGTCTGTACTGCGCGGCTGTCTCCTTCTCAGTAACTGTTATGAGCTTCCTGGTCAGGGCGCTTCTGGGTGAGCCATGTCCAGACCACACGGGACCACGAGGGCCTGGGGGTCAGATGGAAAGCTCCGATTGACCCGGTCAGTGCTTACGTTGTTGACTGGACTCTTGATGGGAACAACTTTGAGTGGAAGAGGACCAAAGCCACTGCTGTGAGAATACACGGTGAGAAAATCAGCGAGTTACACACGAGAACGTTTAGGGCAGGTGCGGCTGCAGGATTTCATTCTGAGCAAACAAGAGCCCACCAGACCCCACCCTTTTCCTCGAGTGGGTCCAGTCTGAACCAGAACCTTTAATCACAGTCTCCAGCAACACCTTATAACCACTAGTATAACATCACTGAAAGTCACTGGGAATCTTTTGTGTATCTCTGGTATCTCTGGTCTCTCTCTCTCTCTCTCTCTCTCTGGTCTGTCTTTGGTGTCTCTGTACTCTCTCTGTGGTCTCTCTCTCTGGTCTCTCTCTGGCCTTTTGCTGTGGTCTCTCTCTTTGGTCTCTCTGGAGTCTCTCTCTCTCTCTCTCTCTCGCTTTCTCTCTTTCTTTCTCTTTATGTGGTCTGCCTTTGGTCCCTTTGTGATTTCTCTTTGGTCTCTTTCTGGTCTCTCTGTACTCTTCCTGGTCTCTCTCTGGCCTTTCTCTGTGGTCTCTCTCTCTGGTCTCTCTCTGGTCTCTCTCTGGCCTTTGCTGTAGTCTCTCTCTCTGGAGACTCTCTCTCTCTCTTTCTCTCTCTTTCTGTGGTCTGTCTTTGGTCCCTTTGTGATATCTCTCTGGTCTCTCTCTGTACTCTCTCCCTGTGTGCTCTCTCTCTCTCGCACTGGCCTCTCTCTGGTCTCTCTGTACTCTCTCCCTGTGTGCTCTCTCTCTCGCTGGCCTCTCTCTGGTCTCTCTCTAGTCTCTGTGAGGGTTTTACAGCCTTCAAACGTCAAGCCACTACTTCACAAATTTCCCTTATTGCTGGTTATTTCTTTAAAACACATCACCCCTGCCAGAAAACAGGTCCAACTGTGACATAATTGTGTTTAGTTTCTACTTCTACATTTTCAGGCCTCATGGATAAGACGGTCTACAACATCACAGTCACTCCGCTCTTTGACCAAAAAACAGGGCCCTCCTCTCAGATCGCAGACGTTTGTTCCAGTTTCACAGGTCTCTCACATTTAAAACTGTATAATATTTAACACAGACACCAATACAGATGTTTTTCATATATCTCTAGATCCTGGAAATGTGACTATTGTGAATCTAGAGGCCTATGACAGAAGTGCACACATCATTTGGAGACTTTCCCCAGAGAAATGCAGCGATTCTGTCCAGAATTACACTGTGTTTTATGGGACACAGAACGGACCACAATTCAGTAATCATTTAACAAAGTAATCATGCCATGTTTGAAGTATTTCTCAAACTAATGTCTTGTTTTTGTGTGGAATAGATGTAACTGTAAAAAACACAGAGTTGTATTTGAAGAACCTGAATCCAAACACACAGTACCGGATCCATGTCCAGGTCTCGGCTCTGAGTGGGAGTTCCAGAAGCAGCGAGAGACTTTTTAAGACTAAAATATTTGGTAAGTTTCTTGTATGTAATGTATTATTAAAGCTGGAGAACCACATGTACTCTCTCTGTCCCAGCAGAAAGTGTTTTACTGAATGGACGTTACTTTGAATATGTGAAGAGAGAGTGAATACTGTGGTCTCTCTCTCTGGTGTCTCTCTGGACTTTCACTGATCTCTCTTTCTCTGGTCCGTCTCTGGTCTGTCTCAGGTCTCCCTTCGGTCTCTCTCTGGTCTATCTCTCTGGTCTCTCTCTGGTCTGTCTCTGGTCCGTCTCTGGTCTCCCTTCGGTCTCTCTCTGGTCTATCTCTCTGGTCTCTCTCTGGTCTCTCTCTGGTCTCTCTCTGGTCTCTCTCTGGTCTCTCTAATCTCTCTCTGGTGTCTCTCTGGTGTCTCTGTGGTCTCTCTGGTCTCTTTGGTCTCTCTCTCTGGTCTCTCTCTCTGGTCTCTTTCTGGTCTCTTTCTGGTCTCTCTCGGGTCTCTCTCGGGTCTCTCTCGGGTCTCTCTCTGGTCTGTCTCTGGCCTCTCTTTCTGGTCTCTCTCTGGTCTGTCTCCGGCCTCCCTCTCTCGTCTCTCTCTTTCTGGTCTCTCTCTTGTTAGTTACATAGT